AGGGCAGTCTGTATAAGCCAGGAAGTTATCTAAGCATCACTTTGCATTTCTTCAAGCATTTTCACTTAAGTGCTCAGCAGCTAGTCAAAGGGGCCACGGTTCAACCCTACCAGCTGCGGCATGAGAGGAAGACGTGCTGATCTGCTTCATACCAAGGACTGCCTAGGGAGCCTCACGGGCTGGCTGCGCTACCCTGTGGATGGCCTCAGTGGCACCCAGCAACAATCACGGTGGCCATGTGGCCTGGTGGCTAAGGGCAAGGTCTCTGGAGTCAGCGTTCCTAGCTTCAAACCGTGGCTCTGTGGTTTACAGGTCTCATGATCTCAACCTGAGCATCCTTGTCGGTATAACTGAAGGAGTCCTAGAAGCGACCTCGTGGGGTGGTCAGGGGGGGTGGGGAATTCGTGGGCTGGGGCACACAGAGGCTTGGCAGGTGGCCAGCTCTCAGCCAGCACGGGTTCCTAGTCATCTTCCCCATCTTCAGCACTGTCGTCACGGTTATATTACCATCATCATCCTCACAGGACTTGGTCTCACCACAAGTGGGGGGCGTGGGCATGTAGACGAGGTCATGGTGCTCAGAGAGTCAGTGGTGACCCATGGAACAGGAGTGCCAACCTGCGATCTGGGGCTCTGTGCCCAGGTTAAAGAAATAGGGTTCCCCAGGGGAGGGGGGACTCAGGAAAGGAAGGGAGGGGCAGGGGCTCCATACCAGATGGCACTTGGGCACCGGGATTGTGTCGCAGTCACACTCTGAAAGACAAGGGGGGGCAGGGCCCACCTCACCAGCAATGCCCAGTTCCCTGAACCTCCCTCAAGGCACCCCCAGTGAGGTTGGTACGGTCCCCACCCTCTCCTGGGGCGAAGGAGGGGAAGAAGCAAGCTTTCAGCTTCACACCATCCCTCAGTGGGAGCTGCAGCTCCCCTGGCAGGCAGGCTGGCTGAAGGGAGCAGGGATGAGCATTCAGCACCAAGCTCCCCCACCTGGATGTGGGCGAGGGCATGCAGGCAGACAGGCCAGTCACAGGCCTCCATTCCCCATCGAGGACGGATCCCTGCCCTCCTCCATGGCCCTTCTGGGACAGGTGCAGAGCTTCCCCAAGTAAACATGGCGAGGCTGAGACATCTCACCAATGGCATCTCCCCAGAATAGGTTCCAGCAAGCTCCGTGTTGCCATTCTAAGTCTACCCAGGGGCAGGACCTGTTCTCCCGTGTGCACAGGCAATAGCTGAGGCACTGCTCACTGACACATGGGACACATCAACGCTAGCTTCAAGGACCGGCCGAGAGCTCAGGGTAAGTGTGGCTGCAGACCACTCTTCTGAGTCACTGTTTCTGGTAACATGTGTTTTTAGTGCCTACAAGAGACCGAGCTCAGTCCTGGGCTCTGAAGCTAGAGCGACGAGCAAAGCAGCCTAAACCCTGCCTTCATGAAGCGTGTGTTCTAGGAAGGACCAGAAAAAGACCACGCGAAGTGTCCAGATGCAAAATAGAGTTGCTCACTCTTTAACACAGACACACGCTCCTCTAGCACGCCCAAGACTGCTTCGCAACAGTGTTTGGGGTGACTTTTCACAAAAGCCATTTGCCATCAGACAATTGTAATAAGAAGTTTCTTAAAGAAGGAGAACTGATTTTGGATTCAGAAACCTTCCTTGTCCCTCTTTCACCCTCGGAAGAAAAGCACTCAGAGAGCGGACACACGGGGGAGGGAGGGAATGCGCTGCTTTCCCTCGGGTGACTTGGGAAGGGCTTGGTTTTGAGGAAGTTTGGCAGTAGGGGGGCGGGGGTGCTGTTTCCCCTCCGTTCCCCCTGCTTCAGGGACACAGCACAGATCCCCAGCCTTTGTGGGGGGCAGTGTCCCTGTCCGGGGACTTACCACAAGACTTGTACGGGCAGCACCGTTCTGGGCTCCACACCTCCACCAGGGCCGTGCCCAGGCCACACTGCACTTGGGGGCACCGGAAGCTCTCACACACTGGGAGACATGGAAGCAGTTGTGTCAGCCTGAGATCTCTCAGAGGTGCAACCAGGCCGGAGCAGCGGCCCTCCCCAGCTCTTGTCTTTCCGAAACGGAAGCAGTGGCTCAGACTCATGGTGACCTTGGGGGTCAGAGGGCAACTGTGCTCCTGAGGCTTTTCCCTGGCTGAGTTGGGGAAGGCAGTCTTCCGAGGGACCTCTGGGTGTGTTTGAACTTCTAGCCTTTCAGTTAGTTAACAGCAGTTCTCAACCTGTGGGTCGCGACCACGAACGATCCTTTCACAGGGGTCACCCAATTCACAGCAGTATCAAAATTACAGTGATGGAGTAGCAACAAAAACAAATTTATGGTTGGGGGGCGGCGGTCACCACAACATGAGGAACTGTATTAAAGGGTCGTGGCATTAGGAAGTCTGAGAACCACTGCCCTAGATGCTGTGGGGCTCAGCGGGACAGCATGCATCCCTGGATGGGAGGAGGATATATGAAGCTCATGGACTGTTTCACCAGATACGTCAACTGGACTTGGGATCCACTAAGCCTAACTTCTGCTTTACAGTCGGCACCAGCAGCTCCTGCCAGAGGGAACCGGGGTAAGGGTTCTATAGGGCCACAGTCCAGGCTCTACAATTTGGATCTGTGCTGAGTCAGAAAAGATTTAAGAGACACAGTTGTGATGTGTAGTTCTAAATTGGACCCTAGGTGGAACAAACCGGGCCAGACAGGGACTGTGCACTCGATGAGTCGAAGACTGATTAGCATGGGAGGTGGAGATAATTGACTGAGGCGGCCGGTTAAAAGACAGCATGTACCATGTGGTCTGATTTTGCTAGGAGACCCTGGCCCACAGATATACATGTTATCAGGAGGCATCAAAAAATGCATGGGAAAATAACATTAAAAGACAAAGGGATTTTTTCCCAGGCACGTTTGGAACCCCCTCGTGTACATGAGGCATACAGATGATTCGACAAGATCTGCACTGTTAGCAATGGAATCTCCAGGAGGTAAGAAAGGTAGCTCTTTCCTACTTTCTAAAAGGTGCCTTGTCATGGATTGGATTGTGTCTCCCCACACTCTGTGTGACAATGGGCTGGCCCGGGATGCCCAGAGGTTTGGCAGTTGTGGAACGAATGATGCAGTCATTGCCCATGAAGTGATCTGATGTGATAAGCCAATCAAGCCATAAGGGGATTCAAGTGGGATGCCACATCCTCACTCAGGGCACAGTCCTGAGCCAATGTGAGGTGGGCTTCCCTAGCATGTGTCCTGCATCTTCTTTTATCTTGCCAGAGGCAAAAGGAGAAGAAGCTACCGTAAAAATAGGGGCGTGATGATCAACAAGAAAGAAGAACCAGGTGCACAGTGCATCCCTGAGCTGAGAAGCTGCTAGAGCCAGGAGACACGCAGGTCTCCAAGGGAGTTTCTCGTCCACGTCTGTGGAAGGAGACCAGGACTTCCCCCAGAGCTGACAGAGAACGCCTTCCCCGACAGCCCGCACTCTGAATTCTGCCTTCCAGTCTCTTAAGCTAGGAGGGAATAAAGTTGTGTCTGATGAAGGTTTTTACTTGTGGAATTTCTGTTATGGCAGCACAGAAAACTAAGACACGTACATAGTGCATTTGTAATTCTACAAGCACTGTAAAGGTAGGGAGAAGATAATACTATCAACAGCCACCATTCACTGAACACCTACAGGGTGCCAAGGGCTTCTCTAGGGACTGGTCTCTCCTGACACGTCCAAAGTAAGTAAGATGAAGTCTCACCATCCCTGCCTCGAAGGAGGCCACTGGCCGTACTTCTTCCCAGACAGATGAGTTCGCCCTTTTAGCAGTTCCTGGTACTTTCAGTAGTCTTCTCCAGCCCACAATTCAAATGCTGAGTCTAATTCAGTCTTCCTGATTCAACGGCCAACGTTCACATGCACATGAGCTTATCCAAATTACCATGGCTTGGGTCAGGCGCACCTTAGTCCTCAAAGTGACATCCTTGTTTTCCAAGATTCTAAAGAGGTCTTGTGCAGCAGATGCACCCAATGCAATGCATCTTTTGATCTCTTGACTGTTGCTTCCATGAGCATTGATTGTGGATCCAAGCAAGACAACTTCTCCACAACCTTTAACCTTTTCTCCATTGATCATGAAGATCACCTATTGGTCCTTTACCTACTGGTTTACCTACTGGTTATGATGTGATCTGTTGACATTTATCCACTGTATTCACTTCCCCCCATTAGCCTCACTTAAGCAGCCTGAGTCAGCAGTGGGCTGAGAACTTGAAGTTTGGAGGTTCTAACTCATCAGCCTCTCTCTAGGAGAAAGATGCAGCTGACCACTTCCATAAAGACTGAAATCCTATAGGGAAGTTCCACTCTGTCCTACACAGTCACTATGAGTTAGAATCAGGGAAGGAGCTAAGTAGACTAACTTAAGGTTCCTAACCCTGCCTAGATGATGCGTATGTTCTCAGTGTCCTATAAAGGCAACAGAAAGAGCCTTCGGTGTGGATTCAATGTAAAGAAAACCACAATCCTCACAACTGGACAGACAGATGGTGAATCTCTCTATGGAGCTTCAGAGACATTTGCGACTTTGCCCGGACCCGCCAGCATCCTACTCCCCTGGCCTGGCCCAGCACCCTTACGGGGCCTGAGTTCATTATGGCATCGATGCCCTGTGCTCAGAGCTCGGCACAGGAGGCTTCCCCTCCCTCCTGTTGAGCTGCCACTGGCCTTGGGAGTACCGGTTTTGCAGAAGGGTTCAGTGGGCCGATGAAACCCACAGAGCCCCTTCCTGCCAAGGTCAGCGGGAGCCTGCACTCACCACACTGGTAGAATGGGCAGCACAACTCTGTGGTGTTCCTGGCCACTGTGAGGGCCTCCCCCTCCTGACACTCAGGGATCGGGTCTGGACAGTCACCGCAGGCTGTGGGGAAAGAGGGTGCATGGCTGTCACAAACTGTCCCCCTCGTGCAGCGCTTGGTAGGAGCCGGGGAAAGGGGTGGGTCATGGTCAATGGCCCTCATGCGACAGGAGCTACACAAGTGGCAGCATTTTGTGGTCTTCTGTAACCAACCCTGAACTCAGAATCTGGAAGTCAGTCCTCATCTCCACCAAGCATCCATCTCCTCTTGCTTGCTCATCTAAGGGCACGCAGAGGGCTCCCTTCCCTTGGCCTCTTATGCATCTTTCTAGACAGCAATCTCACCAGTAGTCAGTTGCCCACCCCACCTGGAGTCGCCCCCCACCCCCTTTCCTCCAGCAGCCTAAGGACACACAGGTGAGGAAGGGGCTGGCTCCGGGCTGGGTCTACCCACCACAGAAGTAGGAGGTGCAGCAAGAGTCCCCGAGGCGGCCGCCAATCAAGATCTGGTCCTGGCGGCAGCTGGGGACCAGTTCCACCTCACACTGGCCTGGGTCACATTCTGAGGGAGGAGTCAGAATTTCAGGGCTGGGAGCAAAGCTGACCTGGCCATGCCTTGACCTTCCCCAGATCTGCCCTGACCTCCCCACAGCCCAGTCTGCAGAACCAGCCTCCCTCACCCACTGTAGGCCCCGACTGCCGTCCGACCCAGATGGCGCCTTCCCCTGATTCCGCCCCCCC